TATAACTTACTAAAAGGGGTTTAACTAGGTGCTGAAGAAGCGACTGGGGGATGCTGAATATGGCCCCTCCTGATTCACAGCTGGTTCAGAGTGACGACGCTGAGCACACTAATAGTGGTGGGCTGTTCGACTCGACGAGGGAGTGTTTAGAGTCAGCCACCAAAGAACCTGTGTAAACTTCAGTCGGCCAATCCAGCAGAAGAAAACGACTTTCGCTGAGTTGTGCGAGTTGACGACTTCATTCTGAGGGATGTCTCGACTCTCGAGAGAAAACAACGATACCTTGTCCACTTGCAAAGAGGGCAGCGATGACCCCGCCAGCCAAGCAAACGCTCGCTGTCAGAAGCAGGCAGTGACAATCTTTCTGTACACACCCCCTTTTCGAAATTTGAGGAGGGGAAAACCAGCAGACGACTCACTCCCGGCGCATCCCTGCGGATCGGCCGCGTGGTTCCGCGACCAATCAGAAGTGCGTGCCTGGCGCTATGCCCTTTCTAGTGATGAGCCTGCTACCCCTGACTGGTGGTGGGGGGTTACATTTTGCACAATGAGGTGTGATGTGATGGCATTGCCGCTGCGTGTGCAACAATCCATCTGCTATCGTCCGCCAGCGCAATTATCACCTGCTCCAGACAATGCAACGGGAAGACTCGAGCTTAGGTGATAGCGAACAATGAGCGCCGCACCTTGCACTTATTTTGAGAAGGGATGCAGCATATTCTGTCGGCGTCGTGATTCCCCGAGTACTTAATACATACGCTAAGGTCACGGAAGAATGCATCGCACTCTGCACAACTCTTGCAACGCCGCCGCCCCGGAGAACGCCGCACCAATGCAATACCTAGCCAAGTGCAAGATTCGGGTATCAGATCTCACTTTCAGATCCCGGCATCCGCCGCCTGAAAGAATATTCGATCGTCGGGATGGTGAGGCACGTTAGGCGAGAGCCTCTCGCCGACAGGCGGCCTTAAGCCCAACGGGGCGGGAAGGCTGCAGAGCAAATCCGGTATGAAGATGGGCAAACACAGGGCTTTTTTCGTGCAGAGAACCATTATTCCCAATTCCAGGGCGTTGGTTGATGACTGGTTCGGTCAATAGCGCTATTTCAATCAGCGGTGGGAGCGAAATCCCAGCTCGAGATTGACCGTGTCGGCGCAGGAAGAAATCTCAAGACGTGCTTTCTTGGCGGCCAACGACGGGAATGAGCTTTTGATCTTCGCAGGTCGAAACTGATCGGCAGTGTCTCCCACGAGGGGCGAGACGGATAACGGTCGGTCGTCCGAGGTTGCGCCCTGTTAATTCCAGCGCACATCAACCGAGAGGGAAAAGGGTACATCGAGATCCAGGCCAAATTTTTCTTGTTAATCAACGTTGATGAAGGAAGTGGGTTCGAGCACTTTGTTGACTCAGCCATGGAAGTGTGTTCCAATTTTCCAAGAAAGCCCAAAATTCCCGCTTGTTGAAACGGCGAAGTAATTCCCCGCTGCGGCCCAGGTTTGTCCCAGTCGCCACCACGGCATAAATCTCGTCGGCCTGGGTCTCGATGGCCCGGTAGAGCCGCAGATTGAGGTTGTCGCAGCTTGATTGACCGGGAACAAAAGTATGGGGTCGGCACGAGATGCGTTGTTCGCGGTTCGTCTGATGATGACGCTCGCCTCTGCACAAGCCGGGCCGTTCCCAGTCTTTAAGATTTTGCAGTTGTTTTGGCGGTCCAAAGCTTTTTTCCCGCACTAGAACGTGTCTCCACGGTCCACACCACGACACGTTGCCGGCAAGGCTGTCCCGGGGCTGATCGCTTGGGGAAGACGAGGGCCTCTGACCGAGTGGAGAGATGACCTGTTGACGATGGACTCATCGAATCAAGACAGGCACAATATGCCGAGCGTCCGGAGTCGTCGTCGGGAGTTAACAAGCTGACGAAGATCGCAGGTTAAAAGACTCCGAAGAATGATGCAACTAGGCATTTCTTGCCGCGAGATGGAGCTGCCATTCCGTTGCAACGAGGTACTGCCAAAGGCAACTGCCGTGACGTACTACATCCGGCCCTAGCAGATCATGAACAACCCATCAACCGTCATGCGAAGCTCTCTACGTTAAATCTAGGGCACAAATAATATGGACAAAAAATTGAAGGCGCAGGAGACCCCCACAAGATGGACTTCACACATGGCGATTCCCGACGAGTCACGATATTCATTACTCCGCTAGGCAGTCGGGCACTGCAGACAGACTGCGGCCTCACGCCTTCCTTGATTGATTGCCTCTCGCTCTGCAGCTGGCTGGAGCGCACTGTCACATTAAAAGCCCCTTGTCGACGCTAACATGGCGACATTATTTCGCTTCCGCGCCGCGCTGGACCGCCCGCAATCTCCGCGATTTGCAGCCCTCCTTCCGGTTGGGCCGCCCCTCGATTTCCAACAGGGCGGGCCAGAAGCCAGGGCTCGCGGAAACTCTGATCGATGAAGAGGGCAAATGGGGACCTGACGTCGTAGAAGAGTTTTCGTACAAAAGTTCTGGACCTCGATTAGATTTTCAAAAATCTTGGAAAACACTGGGAGCAGGGCGGCGAGAATCTCATTCCCCACGTGTCGCCGACCGTGCTTGTTGTTCCCCTGCCTCGAGGAATGCAACCCGAAGCGGCGGATTCGGGCTCGACTCCCTGGTCAGAGGATCGGCTCATTACCACTGGCCGAACAGTGGTCGCATAGAAGCGGCCCCGTCTTGAACAATGCCATTCGAACCCTTCGTGCTGATGTCACTGCTCTCAAACATGTTCGCAGCAGGGCGTGGTCACGGCATACGCTGTGCGAGTGCACCGCAGTAGCTTCATGTCGTCTGCAGTGTGCCGCTTGGCGCTCGCTACAGCACACGGGCGATAGATTGAATTGAAGAATTGCGGGCACCCACGCGTTCACGACGACGTCCAATGCCGGCCCGCCTTGTTTTGTTTACAAATTTCCCGGGACGTCAAGATGGACGCGGTTCTGAAGGCGCGGACCGGGTGTGCGGCGACGGCGTTTGGCGGGGTACGTTAACGTCCGCCACAGGCCGACCCTGGCGACTGGGAGAGATTGCCATTCGAGAGGGGCGCGCACGCTGGTGATGTGCTCTTGACGTGACGTCGGCAGAGATGCAACCTGCGGAAGGCCGGGCGATAAGGTCTCTCTTTGGGATAGCCCGGGCAGGCGTCTGCGAGGCGAATGTCAAAAAGTCGCATGGGAAATTAAACGCGGCGACGGGACTTTCCGCCATCACTGATCTCTCTCTGTCTCTCCTGGCGGCTGGCGCAGATGAGGGGACCTGCTGATTGTGGCGGCGCGTCGGCGACGCGATGGTGCGAGGTGGCATTGAAATTGAGCGCGCCGGTGAGACCTTGGGGTGGTCGAGTGCCATTTCGTACCCGGCCTCGAGGTCCGGTGCGACGCTTGAAAGAGTTGAGATGAGACGGTAGGAAACGGGTATATGTCCGTTGCCGGCCCAATATCAGTCGGCGGCTTTCCGACTTCAGACCAGCGCTTGATGGGACGTCGGCCCGGCTGATTGATAACCACCAGGACACGCCACGGCATCTCCCCAGGTGTCAAGCCACGGTGACACATGTCAAGATTTCAAGTGGTTTGATAAACCACGGTGCACTTGGTTGAGGTGTCAATTTTGTCGGCCTTTGCGACGTGTTGGTTTTCAAGGCACACATCCGGTGACGTAGATGTGCGATTGCCGAGATCATTTAATCGATGACATCGTTCCACCGCTGTGATAAGCAACAAATTTGCTGACAGACTCGTAGCTGCCAACATCCTTTTGACTCCCCCTTTAGAACCGTTCAACAGATTGTACCTTCGAAACCCACATTCTCGTCTTTCACTTCTCTTGCTTTGGTCGAATTGTATTTCCAGTAACAGCTGCGATGAGCCGCTGACTGCCCTGTTGCTCCATCCACCAAATGGCAGCTGTTCGGGAGACTCAGGAGACGAGACGTCAGTCATCCTCTGAACTCCCGCCGCTACTTGATGCGAGTCGACCGAGTTTATCTAGGATGCATGTAAGATGTTTGAGGCCGTCTTCGCGGTGGAATTACTGCATCCAGGGTATTGGTGTCCGATATTTAGGTGAGAACCTAGTCCAGGGCAGAGGGAGGTTCGAGTGCGAGTATAAGGGTCGTCGAAACAGTAGCTATCCAGCACAGATGTTTCCGAAGGGTACCTTTCTCTCAGTGTATTGCGCATGCAGAACATCTGGTGATGTCCTCTCCCGACATCTACTTCGACCAAGGTGATTCCTTCCTCGGCTTGAATACCTCATCGTTCTGTTCAACTCGTCACGTACCATTCCTCGAGCAGTGAGAATGGATCAGGTCCACCAGGAACGGTTTCTCCTCCGATGACGGTGGTCTAGTACCCCTCTGACGTTGAGGCAAGATTGGGAAGAGTGACGAGAGCTCCACGGGCCACTTGATCATTGACGCAGACTCGGTATTTGGGGACTGTCTTCGCATGTGCAAGTCCTCCTCTAGACTCCTGCCAGGGAAAAGGTTGATCCCACACCAATGGAGACAGTGTTCCAACTGATCTGAAGATACTCAGCTAACGCTATGCCTTCTTTCGAGGGTTTCTCATTTTGTGGTTTCTTGACATTATTGCGTCCTTCTTGGTTGGAGTACCCCGGCTTCGGCCTGAGCTGATGATCTGGGGCTCGAGGTTCGGTTTTCTCCGTACCTTAAGCTACGCAAAAGAATGTCCCAGTTCCTCAGAGTCCTTCGATTCCAATAGGACTGGCTAAGCGGCGAGTCACGGGGAGATCATGCAAGACTATTGCTGCAGAGAGTAATATTACGAGACTGGCTTCTGTCTACATTTAACCCCTAAACACGCCGTCCGTTAATTCCAGATGGCAGCTGTGTGCTCGGTCGAAGATGGTTTCTCGGCTCACTATCATCACCTATTTTCACGTGTTAGTCAACATTACGTTTATCAAGTACAACCAACAGGCGCTCACGTGGTTCACAAGCACGTGTCTCCCTCCTTCGAGCACGAAACACCGGCAGGCGTGTAGATGGGGTAGTTGCCGTCCAGCGTGAGCGGGTTGCCGTGGACGCAGTTCCACTGGCCGCTGCGGCACTGCCCGAGGACCTCGCGGAACTGTTTGCAGAAGCTGGTGACCTGGGCAGGGCAGCCGGCGCGGGTATCCTGTGGGTACGGGAACGGGTTAGTCGCGAGTTTCGAGTCTTTGGAGGGTGCCGTCATGATTTTAGGAAGAAGGGAAGGAGAAGGAAGCACGACGGAGAAAGGTATGGGATAGACGTACGAGAGCTGTGGCTTGCTCGGCGATGGGGCTGGCCATTGCGCTGGGAGCGAGGGCGAGAAGGGGGAGGAGGGCGGTGATCTGCATCTTGAAGACTTTTGCTGCGAGCGATGCTTAAGAGGGTGTGATTTGTGGCATTCGTGATGGAAGGGAGTCATGAGCTGTTTTATAGATGAACTTCATGCGTCAATGCCAGAGCACATCAAGTCCTCTTGTTGTGTTTATTGAAGCCATGCTATCTTGCAAGCTATCTGTACCCGATTCAACCTTCTGGCGATAGCATGTGCTCGTATTTACGAACGCGTTGATATGATCAATTCCTCTCACTGTGGCACCCTTTCAGAATTCGTAAAATCTTCCATCAATCAGTCATTTCATCGGAACTTGGTTTCCGAGACTAGACCCATTCAACGATCCTCCTTAGCGTTCTGAAGGCATGTGAGCTAGGATATTGTTGACTTCAGTAAACTAAAGAGCATAGAATAATGGTTCAAGTATCCACTTAAACGACGACCTTCTGTTGCGAGCTCTTTATCAGATGGAATCTGATTAGATGAATCCCGGCAGGAAGATATCCTGTTTTGGCTCCGCCATTTCGTTCGCAGCATCCCACCGGCAACGCCAATGTCTCCCCGGGGACAGTCGTTCGGGATTATGTGCTAGAAGGGCTTTTTAATGGAGTTGGAACTCGCTATAAGGAGAGAATGTCTCATCCAATAGTTAGAAAAGTCACGATCTGCACACCTACACTTTGGCCTCTTTGCTAGATATCCAAGACACACAGGCGACGCGGATTTGACCTATGTTAAACATCACACTGTGAGAGTTAGTAGATAGTCTACCATTCCGCTATTTATAAACACAGCACTAAGAATGATAAAAGCCCGGCAATATCTATACAAGCGCCCTAGTAAAATGCTACATAGACACGTAAGCCGATGATGCCCTTCGGCTTGAAGGCAACATGGTGAATATCACAAATTCACAATCAGGCCAATTTCAATGATCCCATATCGCGGAGCGACTCACACGCAGGCCGCGAGGACGAGACCAAAGTCGCCGGTATAGTCTATGACCCGTCGTCAACACCCTTGGCAATCTTTGACCCGCAGGTCAGCGGAATCGTTCGCGGCGTCCCGTCCAAAAAGGATGATCTCGGCATCGTGGGGCGTGTAAGGCGTTGTCGACTATCGATAACGCCAAGTGCAGCAAAAAGGAGGTAGATGAGCAAGGCCTGGTTTTGATCCAGGGATCTGTGGATTTCAAGTCCACTGCGTTAACCACTGCGCCACCGTGCTCGTTGTACGGTGAGCGATCCTACCATTATGACAGATGCGGACGGAGTCTACGTTGTGACTCACTGGTCGACCGCAGCGGTGGTGGGTGTGATCGGCTTACGCTGACGTCGTCAAGAGCAGTCGGCGTGCATCCAAGCTTGCATAACTTCTCTGTGCATTCTGGAGGCTACGTCATTAACCCCTCTCATACTTGTGCTCACTATCGTCGAAGTTATTTGAACTGAGCAGCAGTTTCCCTTCTGAGAGATGTTGTTAAGACAAGCTGGGGGAGCTATAAATGGCTCAGATTGCGAGCAATCCATCTCCGTTAACGGTAACTGCGACTAGGGATTGATATCTCATTACTTCAAAGGTATTGATTGATATCTTCTTCTCTGATTATTGAACGAACAAGGGAGTTTGATCGGATAACATTGCACTTGTCTGTGTGAATACCAACACTGTGTCATTGACCCGTGAAGTTTCTTCATGACTTTGGGCATTAAGAAGACCTAAATTCTACTCTCATTTCTTTAATTGCGCTATCAGCATCCAGAGATGAACTATCATTTGAACCTTCTCGATTGCTCGAGCTTCAGTCAAGCCCAGCCAACACATCTTCAGTCCACCGCCACAGCTCTCCCGCCAACTTCTCGTTCGTCGCGCAGGAATCAAGTTTGTCGTTAGCCAGGTGTCCGACAGGCATGTAGAATCCGCCATTGACGAGGTCCTCCTTCCGCGCCGCGGCCGCGGCCCAGACCTGGTTCCAGGAGCCCTGTTCAGGGGTGAGCACCGTAGCGCCCATGAGCTTGTTAGGCAGATAGACAAGGATACGATTCTTGAGATTCTGGTTTGTGACGAGGCCTGTGTCAACGACTCCCGGGTGCACCGCGACGGAGGTTATGGAGGGATGGCGGCGGGCGAGTTCGCGGGTGAAGAGGATGTTTGCGAGTTTGCTTTGGCTGTAGGTTGAATTTTAGTATAGGATGATCTTTTTGGAAGAATGCCGGATGTAGAGAAGTGTTTACCCGTATCGGATCCACTCCCCTAGCATTGGGGGACCGGTTTGCGTAGTACGAAGCAGGGCAAAGGAGATGCCGTCCCGGGGGTGGCCTTGATACCCCACGGAGGTCAGGTTAACGATGCGGACATCCGCACCGGAGGCTGCTGTTCGCTCGAGAACCGGCATGAGGGTGCGGACGAGCATGGCATGACCCAGATGGTTTGTGGCGAACTGGATCTCGAAGCCATCGGCGGAGAGGGAGGGTCCGGTAGCCATGATGCCGGCGTTGTTGACGAGGATGTCAAGGCGGGTGTGGTTGAAGTGTTTGGCGATGGCGGTAGGGATCGTGGAGAGTGAGGAGAGGTCCATCTTGACAAAGGTCAGGGGAGGTGGAGAGGGAATAGAGGTGGGAAGAGAGGAGATAAGTGAATCTGCGGAGGATTGAGACCGGCCAGAGAAGTAGATATGGGCGGGGTTATGGCGGAGGAGGGCGGTGATTGTGGATTTGCCTAGGCCCGCTGTTCCTAGATTATATGTTAGTATCGAGGAGGGATAAGATGAAGATGGAGTCGTGTAGATGAAGAGAAACGAGTAGGAATTGTGATAGGTGAATAACTGAGAAAGTAGATGGGAGTGAAGGAAGGCAGGTGAAAGCTGGTAAGTTGACAGATAAGACGTATGAGGTAGATATTTCGAGTCCGTCGTTCAATAAGAATTTTCCAAGTGATTTGATGGCAAGCATTCTGCTGTGCCATGATAGCATGAGAATAAGTAATCATGAAGCTATCCTTGATAGTTGATCAAATTTGAGCTGGCCCCGGACCCTCACAGCATGGTGCAGGAGGCTTTCTCCATCCACTCTGCGGGCCAGTTGATGCTACAGGCTCGATAATGTATAAGTTGGCTGAAACGACGTAGAACTTGGAAACATGTGCGTTGGAATTTCCATTTCATTAACAGAAATGAAGGTGATGGGGTATTAGTAGAACAATCCCATATGACAAGTCGATGAGAGCAAATATTGAGCACGGAAAGAAGTATGAGAGACGATAGAGTGTGTGTATGGGGCTGGGTGTTGGCTGCTGTTCCTTACCTCCGGTAACAAATATCACCTTCCCTTCAAAGGATGATATCGACGGAGTTGGATCATGAAGATCCTTCTCATGAACAAAGAGGGCTTTCATTTTTGATATCGGTGGATCGTTGGACGTGAACGGAAACGAAGAAGGGGACGAACGGCGGACGATGCAAAACAATGCGAACGAAGCAGTTGGCTGTTCCGAGACTGGCGATGAAGACTTTTGCTGCTGCTCAACAGAAGATGCCGACGTGCGTGAATCCTGGAGTTTGATGATGCATGTGTCGAGTTACTTGAAGTGATGTCAATTTCGTCCGGTGCCCATGGCAACACACCGAAGTCCGTGTACTGATACCGTATCTTCAGACGATGCCAAGTCTCAGACGAATCCAGTACGTGAAGAATGCGAATACTAAGAGCTCTGTTTGGTTGGAAAATTGGCGAAAGTTTTGTGTCAACTGCCCATGAGGACTTGGTGTTCTAGATCAATGATCAGATTGAAGGCGCAGAGATGTCTGGCACTCAGAGTTGAAGCAGATAGGCGCTCAGCCATTTATACCAGGAAAGCTTCGTCGTCAAGAGACATTCGAGACCGTCGCCTCACATGTTCAATCCTACAAACACATCATCATTGCATCTTCACGCAAAGGCAATCGAATTGCTCCGCCGGCAATGTTATTCATCCGCCCATCTCGCCTATGATTCCGCAAGCTTTTCTGTTGTCGCAACGCGGCAGCCTAACCGGTCCATCACCAAGACACAAGCCCCCTATTTTCTCGACGGATGAAGCCATCACCAGTGTAAGCCGTCTGCATCGGCCACCTCCCCGACGTCAAGCCTGACCCCGTCTAAACCCCTTTCGGAAAGCAACCTGTAAGCCTGCTGCATCGCTGAACACGCGCTACCCTGAGTCACCCGGCTCCCGAGCCGCTACCCAAAGACAAGCCCGCCTCACTAGCCTCGCGTCTGCGCCAAATGCCGAGGGAGCGCATCATAAGCATATCCGCGGAACCGACAAGGCAGGTGAAAGAAAACGGGCAGACGTGACGTGAGGCTAGGCCGGATTTGGGGGTGGGGGACTGTAAGCCGATGGCATTCTGACAGAGCACCTCAGCTCAGTGAGTTCGCGTTTCGAGCAGTGAGGGTGTAAGCTTGCGAGCCCCTCTCCTTGGAGCAGTTTTTAGCTGGCGAGGGCATGAATAGTTGGGGGCGTTGTCGGCCGTAGCGGGCATGTTGTGGCGACATGGACTTTAAAGGCCGCCGCCCTCTCCCACCTGCTCCCACCCGTAGACCATCCTTTTGGAAGACTCAGGTGATGGCTCAAGACTCGTCACTCGTCACTCGCCCGCAGATGGGCGTCTTCTCGGCTTACATCTTTATGCATCGCCGTCTGATTCTCGGAGCGATAATGGGGCTAGTCCGAGATCCTCGGGCCCCGCGCCGATTAACCTCACCAACTCAGGAACGAACGGCAGAACCAATATCCCCGACGCCGGGACTTCGCTTGAGGCCTGGAAAGCACGGGACACGGGGATTGGATTTGCCGCGGGATATCCGGAACGCGGAACACCGGGTTTAGTGTCAGCAGCTGGAGGGCCCTGGGGAGAAGGGAGGGGGGGTCACTCTCGCCTGCTGCCGTCCATGGATCCATGTAGATGGGAATTACACGCAATCAACCCAGCACCAGGGGTCCGTGCCGTCGTCCGTTCGCTGGCTGCCTGTTCCCGCGCGAGGGATTCATTGATGATTGGGGCGCCGCTTAACGGTTATCCGTCGTCCCTTACGCTCGCCCTGTGCGAAGTATGTACTTCACTCGCCCGCTGCGTAGAAAAGAAAGGACAAACCCGGATCCTCGGGACCGCGCAATGTAAAAACTTCCCCTGTTTCAGTTTTAGCAACCGTTCGGGGGTGGGAATCGGCCCATCTGGATTCCAGTTGGGCGAAACGGAGATTAAATGGGATAGGACAATGGGGTGGGCTTTTTGGTTATTAACGGTTTTGTTTGTCATGGTTCATGGGTCTTTTCTGATGGTGGTGATGGCTTCACATTGTTCTGTCCAAAGGTTTACAGAGAGAGGGGCGCACGGAAACAACGGATGAGAAAGCGGCGGTCTGATGACCTTATCCTTTGTGTGTGTGTGAAAGTTTCTTCTGTGTTTTTTTGTGATTTATGATTTGTTTGGTTTGGTTTGCATTCTCGCCTGGCATTGCTGAACCCGCGTACATGATCTGATGACAAAAGCCAAGCGAAAAGTGACCAACAGCCTTTGTGTGACTGGTCACTTCCTACTGCCTCTCGTTCGTGTGACACAGCAACAAGTCCTTTTTTCCTCCCTTCCATCCCGCCAAGATGCACACAGGTAAGGCTGCCGCGTAACACAGCCCGCGCAGTGTGTAGTCCGCCCGCTGCTCGAGGACCCTGCGGCGGGAGGGTGAACGCGACTGCGTGCTTGCTCCGATGCCCGATGCAAATTCGAGATGAAGGCGTGAATGGGCGATGGTCGATGGAAAGGGGGCCCAGGTGAAGCGGGGTTGGTATGTTTGGTGGGAGGGCCATGGGAGTGTTTACTCCAGAAGACAATCTTCCGGAAACTCTAGTTTGTCGGAGGCTTTGTGGCAGTGGGCGCGCAATAGGGGATGACGCGCGAAAATAGCGATGCGGTGTTGCTTTGCTTTGCGTTGCTCTTGGCCCATCCATCTTGGCTCAGGGTTCCCTTTCACTCGCGCGGGGAATGATTGGGGTTGTTCTTTTTTTTCTGGTCTTCCTGGTGTATTCCCGCCACACAAAGTTGCCTTGGACCAAACCCCGGTCCCCTCCTCATGCTCCCCCACGTCGGGCCGGTAATCAAAATCGAACTTGGTCTGGAACTCCTGTCAGCCGATGTTTGTATGCAAGGACAAAGTGTCATTGGTAGCGTGTGGCTGTTCGCCCTCGCTCCAGGCAACTCCGCTTGGACGTTTTTGCCAGTGAGAAAAGATCCTTGCGAGGACCAACCAAGAGGGTGTTGACACTGACACTGGCCAGAACCCGTTGGAACCGTCTGGACAAGGCCAGACAGAAGGGAAAAAGTAAAATCAGGGTGATGGGGAAATGATTGCGATGTGCACGAACCTTTTGGATTTCCCGATTGCAGCGAGGGTCGAATTCTTCCCAATTGGCGTTCCACTCTTCCGTGTTGTGTCCAATCCAATTCCCGCGTATCCATCCGCATTCCCGTGCCCGTCTCGAAAAAGGGACCCCCCATCAGACCAGGTTTCGGCTGCCAGTTGGGTTGAATTTCGCATCGGTGATGATTGCGTTGGCGCGTCTCATCTAAGGTGGTCCCCCGTTGTGGTTCGCTCCCGAAGTGCGGCGGCGGCGGTGGTGCAATTTGAATGATGAACGGCGGCGTCCCACACTGGCCGTCCGATTGCCGAACGAATGTGACCCTGATCCAGCGCGAGGGAGACGTGAGAACGAAATAACCCAGAGGCAAAAAAATGTGCACACCCGTTCGTGCCATGCTGCAATCCGCAAACCCGCAATCCACAATTCCACTCGCACTGGAACCCCTTGCAAGAGGTTGCAGCAGGCGGACGGTGGGCTGCGGTGGATGGACGGCCAGACCTGAGGGAGAAACCTGATAACCTGGTCCTGGTGGTGACGAAAGCCCGGCCGCGTAACGTCCATCTTGCTCCGCGTCACCTCACCTCACCTCATCTCAGAATTTTCCTTTGGCTCCTCTAGACCGTCTCTGCTGCTGTGACAGATTCTGCCTTGCCGCTGCCTACACAGAACCGACGGCGTGACAAACGGCGTTCCGGTTCGCCATGGGAAGGAAACACAATGGACAGGCCAGATTGAACCCACACACACACAACAGACGCACACGCACACTCAGTCACAACAGACACACACCCCTTTCGACACATGGGCTACTGCCGGCCGAGGGCGGCCGGTCCACCCGGGGAAGCAGAAAGAGTGGGCAGTCGGATGTGCAGGAAGAACTGCAATAAGATGCGGTTCCATCTGCAACATTATGGAGTGCGGTCGCGAACGCGAAGCGAAGTGTGCCCTTGTGTGGGTGGACAGGGAGGGGTGTCCAAAGACGGTATGAAATAAAAAAGTGATATAGATATACAAGTACTTTTTTGAATTTCCTTTGCGTGATTCTTGATGAGATAAGGTGAGATGATGGAGATAGGGTGGAGGGGGCCCCCGATGGATGATTTGCGATTTGCCCTGGAGGACGGGGGTGGCCTAGGGTGGTCTAGACTTGCAGATCGCCGAGAGGGGGTAGGGGGTGGGAGGGACGATGGATCGCTGAAGGATTCGCTCCCGGGGCGGTCGGGCGGGAATTGGAGGACGAGCCTAGAGCCTTGGAGAAGCCTAGGGAGAGGGCATGGGAATTGGATGGATCATGGTTGGAGATGGGAATGATGGGGGAACATGGACCAATGACTCTTGTCTCCCACCTAATCCTCCCGCATGTCCTCGCCTCTTCTTCGGATGTGGAAGTGTATGTATGTATGCAAAGGTGACTGTGTGCTAGTGGTTGTGGTTCTGGGTGATGCCGGGCGGATGATGGATGATAAAAAAATGGTGTAGTGATGAATTGTGGTGCTAACAGTAGTTTGGGTATCGGTAAAGAAAAAGCAAAGAAAAGAAAAGAAGCAGCTGTAGAGGAAGATGGAAGAAGAAAGGATCAACCCTCGGTCTGTTCCAGCCAGACGCAGAGCTGGGGCTGCTGGCAGAACGGACCGGGCCAGGCCAGACCAGACCAGACCACTTTGCATGATGGTAGAAACGCACATCAGTGACTGGACGCGCGCATCCATCCCATCGATCAGGCACACTGGCTGAGGATCAGCAGCAGAAAGCCAGCAGAGTTCAGTGCCAGGAAAACTGGATCGGGTGGCCCCTGACTCGGATGTCAGCGGCCTGTAGCAGGGAGAGGGCGTCGGCGGCGGTGTTCTTGTGGAAGTAGACGACGAACATGTAGCCGGTGTCGGTTTCGCTTGCGGCCATTGTGCTCGAGAGGCGGGTTGTCGCCGAGTTGACGCGGTCGGAGAAGAGGTGCTTTTCCTGAGGCGTCATTGATGGCGGGAATCCTGTTGCTGAGATGCCCATGAAGTTTGACGATGCTCGGGGGCGGAGGGCTCCACTCGGGGAACCCATGGTGGCGATCGCTGGAGAAGCCGTGGTGGCGGTGTTGCGGGTGTAGTTGGGAGAGAGTGAGGCTATCGACGATGGGATGTCGTCGATGTTGCGGAGGAAGACGAAGACGGAGACGGGGACGTAGACGTGTGGTCGCGGTTCCTGTTTGTCGTCGAGGTTGTTGTTTATTTGTGTGCCTGGATGATGGTGACTCCAGACTATGCGAGTGTTCTTCTGGTGGAGTAGCAGTGGGGGTTTGCTTTGCTGTTGTTGTTGGTGATAATGCTGCTGTTGTTGATTTGTGTCGACGGTTTGTAATCTTCTAGAGACTTCTTGCAGGTACTAAATGAGGTGTCGGTTGGATGTCTTTGTCTGGAAGTCCGATGATGTCGGGTAGCTGAGGGAATCGTCTGAAGATGGCGGACGGTGACGGAAGTGGCCTCAAAGCAAATTGGGGGGAACCTGTTACTTTTGGGGTGGGAAGGTACGAGAAGGAAAGGGAAAAAAGGAAGAAGACACAAGTGAGAAATGCAGCAACTTTTGTCCAAGACGAGGCAGATGCACAAAAAGTCTAACGGGGGGGAGAAAGGAGGCTGGAGGGGATTTCAAAGGGTCTTTATCATCTTACGGCACGGCATCCACGGGACAACGAACCAGACCGGGCGAGTTACACCAGACGGCATCCATCCACCTTCATTCATTTACATACGGTATCCGTACCCTCCATATACCACATCCATACATAGCACCATAGGTACTCCATCCCATGCGGCATGTATGGATCCAGCAGCAGCAGCAGATGTACCTACTTTCTCTACTATGCAGCAGAATCCCCCAGTTCTACCCATACCTGGCCTTACCGCAGCACCTACATGCCTTGCCCTGGGCCCTGCGCATCCTCTCCTCGCCGCCAATGCTCCTACGGCTCCGGGGGGGAACTCGCCATGGCTGGGAGAGATTTGGAGAGGGGCCCACGGCGTCTGGCTCGCCCTGGACGGGCGTCTGGCTGGACCGTGGACTGTGGGTATCTCCAGTCAAGCGGTCCCTGGCCTGTGGGTTCGGCCCAAACTGTGGCTCTCTCTGTCTGTTTTTCTTGCAGCAGCACTCTGGCAGCCGGCCGGGGCTCTGGCTTTCCGCTGGGCCAGTCTCTTTCCTTCCGCTGGCTGCTTGTCCGTGTGGAGTAAAATGGGCAAGGGACAAAGGACCGTGAAGGGTTGGAGGGGGCGAGCCAGTGTACCAGAGACTGACCAGTGCTCCAGAAGCAACCAGATGTATCCTTGCTGGAACCCTCTGGGCCTTTGCGGTTCTTTTGCTGGGCGGGCTGCCTGCTGCGGACGCACGCGCAGCAGCATCTGATGCTACACACGATGGCGGATGGCCAGAGGCCTGGAAGCCCTGTCATACAATTCCGGTTCTAGAAGCCCAGCCTGGGCCACGGCCCAGCGTGTCATGATGCAGCGTTGCCCAGACTCGACTGCATGGCATCTGCGCAGCGCAGAGTCGCATAATGACTAAGAACACCTTAATTGGGGGACCTGTTCGCTGTCTCCGCCGTCTTCTGCACCGGGCCTGTCCATGGTTCTCTGCCCGTTTGCCTGACTTGCTACTGGCCACAGAGTCGAGAAGAGGAGCATCGGAAAGGATCAGGCTCTGGGCTTTTGCCTGCTGGCTGCCGAAGTGACGGGACTCAACTCCCACGGAGAAACCCAGGGATCCTTCTTTGCTTTGAAGTTTGCCCATCTCGCATTGGATTCTCTCTTCCCCATTTCCCATCAAACAGGGCTGTCCAGGGGACCTCACAAGGACTCTCCGGGGCCGCGCTCAAAGCTCAAAGGGTGCCTCAAAGCTTAGAGGGCTCTTCAAGGATGCGGCCGCTATTAATAGGATTCTAGAACAAATTGACTGCGTTTCAGAAACACGAGCCTACTCTATTCTCGTACGAATTTCACCAACATCGGCTGCCTTTCTTTATTTTCACCAATATCGATGGATCAACGGTTGCATCTTTCTATTTGGCTTCAGGGTCCAATGTGCGTGATATGGCGATTCCGTTCCTTAGCGGCCAGCCCCTCAGGGCTGCATTTGCGAATATTTTGAGTTGAACCTTTTAAGCTGCCATCTGGAGCCCTTGGGCAGAAACGGCCCCCAAGTTCCCTCCTTTTTTTTTTCTTGTGTGTTTTTCATTTCTGTGCGCCTGTTTCTGACTCCCATTGGGCGCGCTTGGCTGGATTTCTTTGACGCTTTATCAATCAATGGTGAGGTTTGTCGCGGTCGCGCTGTTTCGCATCCCGCTTAGTGCGACTTTGACGTGATGAAAGGGCGCTTCCCAAGGACTCGGTAGGCGTCTCTCATGTATTGAAATTTGAGATGAGCGCGCAAAAAAATGAGGAACTGTCATTTCAACCGGTTGACGCCGATTGGACGGCCACGCTTCAGGACGCATCTTTCGAAGTCGTTGCCTCGGCTTTCGATACGAGCTGGTGCGGCGATCAGCGTCCATCATTTCTACTGACAGACAGCTGCACCGACACCAAAACAAATGCACAAGCACATGCGAGCGGCGCGTCAAATCACATTTTCACATTTTCCTCGTATAAGCTCATCGCGGGTGGAGTTGACTCCATTCCCATCGCACCCTTGCGCCGCAATAGATATTTCCGTCTCGATCGATATTCGGCGAGAGTTTACGCCCGTCCCTTGAACCTTCAGCTTGTCCTCAACCTTTTCTTATGATAGATTGTTTCTCTTTCAGCTTCCTTCTATCTGGCACCGTTGTCTGGCAAAGCCGAGAGGCTCGGAGCCAGGCCTGTCACGCCCGTCAGCCTCCCTGTCAGCAGCATCAGACTGTTTCGATGGCATAAGGTCATGGGTGAGGTGCATATAGGCACGCGGGTCACGGGCTGGCACGACCATATTGCGTGTTGTTGTTGTCGACTCGGCCAGCACAGCAGCGGACGGACAGCTCCAGTGAGCGATTTTACCGTCCGCCTGCCCATATCCTATTCGACGGGATAACCAAGCGCAATCCACGGGACGGACGAGGTACACTGTGGACTCCGGCCCGAAGTGGGAATATCGTTGCCTGAAGGGCAATGTGTCCCGAACTCCAGACCAACGTGCCTGGCCTGGCCGCCTATCACTCGTCCGTTCTGCTATCATAGAATCAGCGAGCTATGATAGCATGCGGCAAATATTGCGATTTTATCCCCGGAGACGTTTTACCATCCCATATCCAGCCGTATCCAGGGTGCAGAAAAGGGCCTAGGCTGATCGAAAAGGCCATGAATCGGACAACGCGAACCTGGGCGAACAAGGTGACCGACTCGTACACCTGGTCTGTAGGGCAGAGGAAGCCATGTCAAACAGCGCAACACAGCCCGCGCGCATAACTCTAGCGGCTGAACGGTTCGATCAATGTAACCTTGTAAGCGAGCTAGACGCGCCCTTGCCCTGCCCTTGCGTGTGAACATCGTGGCGCTTCTTGGTGTTTCGCCAGGCACAATGTGGCATTGATCAAAAGCTGGTGCACGACACAGAGCTCCAACTCGGGCCACAATGGCTAGGAATAGGAGATTTCGGTTTCGGATTAAGTGCGGTCAGTTGACGGGATTCTGCTCATCCCACTCTCCGTGCTACCGTTACCTACAACCGGACCCAGCTCCGGGCCCTTGTTCCGATTGAGCTTCTGCTTTTGCTTTTGCCCCCCTGGCTAAGGTACCCTTATTCCCTCGACTCGCAACGTCGACGATGCAACACCCAGAAGAAAAAGGTGGATTTGGGGACATGGAGTTTATCCGGTGATGCCCGATTTTATTTTCTGCACTACTGCTGCAATGCTTCTTTTGTTTTGATAAAACGGACTTCGCGATGGAACCCGCTAACAAGCGAGCGCGGAAGCTTAAGCCTTAATGCCGTGCTCGACTCCTTCGAATTGATTGCTTAGCCGACAGAGTAGCCTGATGCTGACAACTGCCGGCCTAGCTTCCGACGCACCATGATGGGTTCGATGGATTGTTCAATGGAGACCGGATCCTCCTTCGACCCTCTCTGTCTCTCTTAAGCGTGAAGAAGCGTAGGAAGAAGGTGTGTGTCTGTGCAGTACTCAAACGACGCGTACGTGGCTCCGGAGAAATGCAGTGAAAGGGGAAGAGGAATGACAATCGACATGCTAACTTCCTTCGCAATGCTACGGTACATGTCCAAAAGGTCACCGGGTCATCTAATACCACTATGGACGTGACAGCTATTTCGGCCGTTGCGACTTCACCACTTCTGCTTCGGAATGACCTTTGCATCCGCCAGTCCCCGGAACACCGTCTCAAACCCGTCCCAAGAGTCCACGTAGCCCGTCCACCCCAGCTGACGCGCCCTGCTCATGCTCAGCACGACATCGTAGTCCTGTCCCCACGCGAACCCAGCAAAGGCCCACGATGCCCTGTCGAGCGCGTCCCCGTCGAGGCCTTCCCGCGCGGCCAGCCGCCTCCACGCCTCCTGGACCTCGCCGCTCCTGCTCCATTCCACCAGGTCGACCCTCTGCCGGATGTGCGACTGTTCTTGCTTCTGCTCGCCACTGGCACTGCTCGTCGCCACGCCGATCGCCTCCGCGGAGAGGGAGAACGGCGTGCGTGCGGCGAGCTTGCGCTCCGACGCTGTCGGGGCCGGACGCGTAAACTGGTCTGCCGGGACGTGAAGGCTGAAGTAGCGGGCGACGCGCGGCCAGAGGTCTTGCCAAGAGGCCGCATCGCCGTTGACGACGTTGAAGGAGAGGTTGGCTGCTTCAGGGGCGAGCGCGGCCCAGCGGCAGAACTGGCCGTGGAGGCGGGCGTCGGAGAACATTGTGATCCTAGTGTAAAAGTCCTCGGCGCCGGGGAAGACGAGCTCGTTGCTGTCAAGCTCGCGCTGGACCGCGGCGTAGATAGCGACGGCGGTGCCGAAGTTCATGAAGTTGCCTTTGGCGAAGCCGATCACCTCGTTTGGGTAAGTTACAACCCAGGAGATGCCGGGGTGGGCGGCGCAGAAGGCATGAAGGATGCGCTGCTGGCGGTAGTAGAAGTTTGGTGCAAACGGGGCGTCCTCGGGAAGCCTGGGTTAAAGGTTAGTGCCAAGTCAGTCATGGCTACATGTTCAGCTCATACCACGGATCCGTTTCTTGCATCGGGATCTTGACCCGACCATGCTGTACGCCGTATTGCTTTGCTCCACAGACGAGAATGATGCGCTTGATCTTGGAGGCGCTGTTGTTCAAAACCAAGGCCTTGAGGAACGCATCCAGCATATCGCCTACGTTTGGTGAGTGCTTTGATTCATAAAGGGGTCAGTCAACCTCACCATTGACTTTGCTGGCCTTGGCCTCGGTATCTTGCTCCAAGTAGGCGGCAAAGAAAACGTAATCAGCTTCGACCCCTTGAAGCTCTCTCGCCATCTCTTCGGGGGTGGCGCATAGGTCCAAGTGGCTCTGGACGACATTCTTGGGGAAGTCTTCCTTCTTTGACCGGGAGAGGGCATAGATCTTCGACCATTCTTCTGGATTGCTGCTGAGCTCCTTAACGATCTCACGACCGAGAATGCCTAACTTCGACGTCAGTTGCTATCACACACGAAGGATAAACCGGACAACACATGCCTGTGGCACCAGTCACAATGGCTGTAGGCATATTGAGGTTCTGGTGGACGAAGGTGTTTAGAGCACACAGGTAGGTAACGTGATTGCTAAACAGATTTGAAGAGCCTCAATCTATTCTGTCGGGTACATTTCAATTTAAATACTACCACTCGAATTGGAAACGCACGCCCGAATACCTCTAAGGCGCAGTGCGGTAGTACGCGGATTGACTAAGGGTCGAGTCCAAGAGCTTCTTCTGACTTACGTTCCACAGAACCAAAACTCCATGGTTTACTTCGGGCCATGGAGTGTGATGCTGGCTGCAGAGATGAATGCCACTTGATGACATCATCTTATGAATTAAGCCACCAGATCAATTCTCATCTCACCAATGAGTCGCACGAATCCATCCGTCGGAGAAACGTTCTAGGGCGCACTCCAAGGGCGCAAGATTAAGGCGTGACGATGCTGGCGTGGGAAAACACCAAAGTCTACACGCCACGCCACACCTACAAACGCTGAATTCTGAACCTCAACAACGATCAAAAACCGATTCTGCGCTAATTGATTGTGAATACCGAGTTAACGTCGAATTACCGAATTCAAGCCTATGGTAGAAGACTGTTCGTCACTGCACAGACCCCGGTTCGCCCCCATCTTCTCTGCTGTTTCTTACACCAAAGTATGGCGTCCCCCTTTGAATGGGCAAAACACTCGGCAATAGACCGATGTGATACGGATTATTCACATCAACACCGAATCTGACAGATGATGAGCTCCGCTTCTGCATCGCCACCTCGGGGGCAGCGCAACTCCCATGCAGCTCTTGATCCCACCATGGCCCCCGAACAGCATTCGCGATTGCCAGGAAAGTTGCAGCACGGAACGGCAAGCCTCGTGACTTGCTCCGGTAGATATCCAAGCAGCTGAAGATGAGAACAGCAGACAGCATAGCCAACACGACCCACAAGACTACTGTCCGCATGATGTAGACATCTTCCGAGACAGCAGTCACCACCGGCACCGTTGCTGTGCCAAAATATCCCGCTGTTGAGATGGCAGCAATTGACTGAGCGATGTTGCCAAAGAAGTGACCCCAGTCCTGCGCTGTAGGAATGGCGTACAAAGTATCGAGCGTCTTGTCAATGATTTGAAGCTGCTCGTTTGAGATCCACCACGGGATGGCCGTCATGTAATCTGCAAGTTTGTCGAGCGCGTCGGTGTCCAGGGCCGTTGTGTTGGTGTTGGGTTTGCCCTCGCAGTTCGTCATGAGCGTGCCGTTGAACATACACGAACCAACCTCCCAACGGAACTCCGGTGTGCATCTAGACCGAGAAATCCAATGACCCTCTTTCGTCTGTGTCAGGCTAGTGTCGTTGCTTTCCGTAAGGGCCTTGCTGTTGAGAGCTGATGAAGGGCCAGCTGATATAAAGTACGTTGTACCGCTGATCGGTACCCCGTTGATGGAGGTATTTGCCCTGCTGTTCCAGAGCCTCAGAGACTGAGACTCTCTCTTCTGGACACTTACGTTGATGGACTGCGTACTTGAGTCTGGCATCGTAAAGGTGTAGGTTGCATTTGAACCATTCAAGGACGTTGTGTAAGGCACATCGAGGGCAGCCTCGCAGTTGGCGTCCCAGTGATACAGCAGAAGTCCGTTATAGGTTGTATTGGAGTTGAAGGTGAGATTATGCGTGGGGATGGGGCCGATGACACCAGAAAAAACGTCGACCAGCGCGCTCTGGCTGACAATATTCCCAACAAAGGTGTACACGGTTTGGGCCAAGAAATTGTCGTTATCGTTCAGTGTTTGAGCGAATGTCCCGTTCCCATCCCACCCCATCGCATTGGCAAGTCGTCGTACGCTCGAGTCGTCGGAGGGTAAGATCGGAAGTCCAACAACATCGAATCCGGGTCTATTTTCAACAAAAACCCCGGTGGTGAGCATTAGGGTGCCCACAGGAACGATGCTGGTTCGGATGACGATGAGCGCAGCTTGCATAACCGCATACCACCACGAGTACTTTCCCAGAATTCTCAAAGTCCACGCGCTCGAGTCGTCCCCGATTTTGTCTAGGTCAGCTAGAGAAACGTGCCTCTGAGCTGTGAGTGCGAAAAGGCGCAGATGCCGGAAGTCGTGCATGATCCATTGAACCAGCATGCCTGCCGGTGCGAGTAGGGCGGAGAGGGCCAAGCCGGAGTAGAGCTGGTTGACCTTCAACTCGTCTGGTGTCCGGAAGACTCGACTTCGGGTGTATCCGCCGTTGACCTCGGGGCCCTGGTAAGTCCAAATCACGGCTGCAATGGCAGCGGCGACATAGACCGAGATGCAGACAATGTAGATCTTCAAGAACTTAAAATCTTTGAATGAAAACATGCGGTCTGCTGTTGAGCCAGTGTACGGGTACTGGTGATGCCCATCGTGTTGAGGCGGGCCGCTCGGTGATGCTGCAGACGGCTTCTCGGCCGAGTTCCGGTCTTCGTCGGAGACGTCTCTTCGAAGAGAACTGTACTCGACCCTGGAAGTCATGATGAGAAAAATATCATCAATTCCCTAAAGCTTTGAAAGCTTCAAAAATTTGAACCCGAAAACTTTGAGCACGCGAGCACTCCCACGTCCGAAGGGATGCAGCGGTTTTGTGTGATCCAGCCCCCAACACGGACACGGACACGGAAACGGCTCAACCCAGCCGTTCCAATCCCCTGCAAGCTCTGTCACTAATTTTGCTGCCTTCTGATCCTTCTCGCACTCGAGCGGGCACGATCGTCGTTGGGCTGAAGTTGAGTGCAACGGGCCGCCCGCTATATGCTGTAATTGGGCCAGCTTTTGCCTTGCGGTGCGAACAAGCATAACGTGATGCGGTTAGCTGACCAGCCCCTAGGGCCAGCCACAATGCCTTTGTTTCGCCATCTGTTAGCCACCGCGTCAGACGCCTTTGCTCCATTTGAGAAATTGAGTTGTAACACCGCAGATCTGACGGTCGGCGCGCTGGCGATCTCAGTTGGAGCGGTGTTCAAGCTGGGTCTGGTGATTTGATGCCTTCGGATCGCCAAGGCTTACGCCGAGAAGTTGAGGCTCAACTTCAGCCAGTGCTCGGGAGAGATCGTCATCGTCAGGTTACATGTGCATGCTATTGCACGACAGTGGCTGCTTACAATGGCCTCAGAAGATTGCCTCCCCAAGTCTAGAAGTTCACCAACTTTATTATGCTGGTTGTGTTTCCACCTCATTCAGCGGTCAGTAGCTTGGAGGTGTGATGCGAAACAGCAGCCGGGTTATGTTCAACACCAGCAAAAATGGATATAGAAATCTGCAAAAGAGAAGGGCCCTAACCAGGGATCGAACCTGGGACCTCTCCCAGATATGAAATGGATGGAAGCCAAATCCCTAAGGGAGAATCATACCGCTAGACCATCAGGGCGATTGAAGCTGAAGAGGACATTGCCTCGTCGTTGTGGATATCACCGTGAAATTTACGCAATAAGAAGCTGAGGTTGTGGGCTGAGTTGTGGAGTCACAGAAACCGAATCCAACCCTACAAGTGTAAAATTGCTGCCTGCTCTAAATTGCCCTAGTGTGACACACCCTGGACAGCTTTTCTACGCAGGGATCACACCAGGGATGATTGCGTCTTTCAGCTTGTCGCGTATCCCATGCCATGAACATTCCCTTGCAATTCCAGGTTGCGGTGTTCGCTGCCTCAAGCCGCCCCATAAAATTGGTTTCCTACAACAGATAGCGATCAAAGTCAAAGGCAGACTCGGCCTGACCAGCGGCAAGGCCAGCTGTCTTGACTGCATCCCAATTCACATCGTTGATTCCCACCTCGTAATCCCAACCCTGGTGGGGGTCGGCATTGGGAAGAATTTGCCAGTAGAACCACGGGATCCCTGCAGCGTCAATACTGGCGGCCCAGTTGCGAATGTTCGAATCTCTGGTGCTAGTGCCGAGCGGACTTCCGCCGTTGCAGTCGTGATTGGGAGCATCCGTGTAGCAAGCGCCCCATTCTTGCATGATGAGCTTCTTTCCGGCATTCTGGGCCTTAGTGACATACGGTCGAAGCTTGGACGTGGCGAAATCGTCAACACCGTATGCGTGGATGGCAAGGACGTCAAGAGCGGCACAGCTAAAGTAAGGATCCAGAAGAGAGTTGTCGACGTAGGCACCACCTCCGGTTGTAACTAAGATATCGGAGTTCCCTTTGAGGTTGTCCTTGATCGACTGGGCCATAGTGCACTGCCACGACGCCAAAGCTGCTGGATTGCCCTGTGGTGAAAGAGAGTCAGTTAAGTCAAGTATTTTGGCGGTGATCAGATCTGTGTCTACCTGGGGGTGCATGGCCTCATTCTGTGCCTCAAATGCAAAGATATACTCAGAGCTCTGCGCCCATGTTTTGCCGTTGTTAGGGTTGACATGACCAAGGACGCGTGCGATACGGGTTTTGAAGTAGGTCATGGCATCGTTCTTGGTGTAAAAGTCTCCGGTGCCATACCACTTTCCATAGAAATCACGGTTTCCTTCGAGCGCGTTGTAGCTGTGGATGGAGATGAGAAGCTTGATGCCATAGCCATGGGCGCGGTTCATGAAGCTGTCAAGTCGGTTGAGCACTGTTTCGTCCCAGGCGTCAGGACTGTCGCCTTGGAGAGGGTTGAAAGTGTCAATGTTGCTGCCCTTCTGGCTTTCGGATTGGCCTGTGTCGATGGGTAGGGTATACTAGGTTAGCAAAATTACTTGGAACTCTGAAGAATCACAAGGGACATCTACCATCGAGCCAAACGCGCAGAACCTTGATACCAGCGCTCTGGAGACCTTCGAACAGGAATGTCTGCTGCTGGGTGTTTAAGCCAGCAGCATAGTAGAGGTTCGAAGCCGAAAACGACTTGGCTGCCTGGCAAGTTGCAGAGAGAGATAGGCCAAGCAAGGCAGCAAAGAGGCTGTATAGCTTCATGGTAAGATACATGTACGAGAGCAGACGGCTGATGAAGGGTGAAGCCAGGGAAACCCAGAAAGCTGAACAAAAAGGGCTTATAGTTAACTTTTAAATATTGTGATTCTTAAGAACCACAAAGTGAGGTTTTGGATCTATCGATCGCACACTGCTAACAGAATGAGAGATCGCTGTAACTTCTGCGAAATGGAATCATATAGTTCCGCTCGATGAACCATCTCTTGGCTGAAAGCGGCAGCTGAATCTGCCAACAGGGTTGGCTTCAAACTAGCAGGGAATGTCTGTCTCATCGGCTGCCACCAAACATCAAAACAATCTACCCACAATATGGTCATGTCTCAACCTGCATTCAGAGTACTCAGGTGTAATTTGAAAGTATTTCGTGTTTCTCGGCGTAAGGTGATTGGCTTTACTCTGCCTTGGGGTGGTTTTCTGGCATTTCGTGGCAGCCGATGGGATAGGAGGCCTGCACACCACAATTCTCGGTAATGTATAAGACCGGTGCTTCACATGGGATCAGTTCGGCCTTTTTGTGGCGACGAATACGATGCTCAACTGCTGTAGGGAGCCGTGCAACATTGGCGCGATGCTACGAGTCATATTGATACTCCCCTGTCTGGCGATCAACTGTTGCCCGCCCCACGTTGGGGTAACAATGCATGCATCCTTACATGAGTGGCCTGGACTTTTTGAAGCCCTTCCCGGCCAAATAAGCTAGTACGACCGTTTAAGCATGGGCGGTCATTGACATGAAGGGAAGCTCATGAACTGTCACTGGGCATGCCGGACCTTCCGGACTCAGCGACCAGGGGATATGTGCTTCAGATAAGGAAGACAGATAATAAGAGGATTTGGGTGAAGCTATGGAACAGCCAAGCACACACAGCAGTATTCTCCGCCGCCATTGCGAAGTGTAAAAACCAGGGGTGCAAACATGCCCATCAAATGCCCCTTTTGTCTCGTGCATTTCATCGACCATTCGGGCAGTCCGTCAAGACGACGTTCAAGCTTCAGGCAGAAATTTGAAGTTTCGTGTATACAGCAGGCGTTGGACTGTGTAGACATATCGACATTGAGATTGGAGTCGGCTTCAATGAACTTCCATTCTCATGGGCTATTAAAGCTCAATTGCACATCACGATGTAGAACTAAATAAGCCAAACCAGTCTTATTCCAATTCATCTCATACCATTCCCATCCTGCCTTTTAACATGCATGCCAACTTTCTCTTTTGGACTCTGCCTTTGGGCGCAGGAGCATTCCCTGCAGCCACACCTAAGGGAAACAACCACAAAGCTTCTGCGAACATTGTGCAGCGAGCTAATTCTGCTTGGCTTGAAGTCCACACTGGGGTCTCGGTCGGTCTCGGAGGACCAACCGTGGGCGTCCTACCCGGACCCGTGAACAAGGCGACTTGTAATCTTCTTGTTCGTCTAGAATTCCATAATACAGACCTGGATAGAAGAGACTGACACATGGGGTAGATCACAAACTCCGATCACTCCCGATACAACCCGGATGTGACGTTGTCTCGCAAAGACTCTGCGCCTTGCTCCGTCGGCCAAGAACTTTCTGGTCACGACGGCCAGCTGGGTGGTTTCAAAGTCAAGTGGACCAACTATTTATGCGGTACCTTTGGAAGGTATGTAGTGTGGATGGCTGTCGCCTGACGCCCTATCACAGACACACTGACAATCGTTAGTGTCTGTAACCCACAGTTCACTGTTCAGGGGCAGACGATCAACGCGTGGGAAGATGGTAAGGCTCAAGGTACCTGAATGAATGTTGACACTAACGTTTCTGAGGTAATTGCAAGCACGGCACCAGCAAAGAAGGCCTGAATGCACATGAATACTGGATGTATGTAACGACAATGACGTGAGTGTGGACACAGACTAACCCAGAACTCAGCTGTGAATACACCTTTTGAATAGATTTATATCGTTTTGTTCTCAAGTCACGGGCTTGCTTTTAGCAAGCCTACGAACTTCGGAATCACTTGAGTGCGCATGAGCTGTTTGGTACCGGATGTGGATTGATGACATGAGACCCGTTCTGGACGGAGACAAGTAGAAGCTGAACCAATCGAACGGCATGACAAAGCTTAAAGAACCCGGGCAGACGTATTATAGGTATGAGTGGCCCGTCATGTAGTCTACCTAGTGACAGTGAGCTCCCCCGTCAATGTATCGTTACACGGTCATCCGGATACTCTTCGTGTCCCCAGGAAAGTGGTCTCTCCTGCAGCGTTATGCCCGGTGTCCGAGAAGTTCCTCGTATTAGCGCAAGGCACGGAAGTACAGAAAGGGGTTCATGCTGAGCAGGTCGGAACAATTTCGCAAGCGGCGCAGCGACAACTCCATCCATTTCAGTGAAGCAATTGCGAAGCTTGAATGAATTGTTCTCACAGAATCAGACGAATACTCTTATGCAATGCTGCAGTAGATGTGTATTGTTTGTCTGGAAACGCTGCCAGTTTGTTGCACCCCTCTTGCTTACGGTGGAGCACCCGCTAGCGCTGACTGTGTTCTGTGCAACTTACTCGCTAAAAGTTTATGAAAGCCTCGTGAGAGGAAGCAAAAGAAAAGCGTCGTGAGCTTGGTAAGGCAATAAGGATCAAAATGGACTTTTGCTTTATTAACGTTACTATTAACATCTAGCATAAATCAGTGGCATCAATTACTTAGCTGATGTACTCGGGGTATCGTACAAACTTATGACTTTGTTAGTGTTCGCACTTGGAATCGACTCATTGATGACCTTGAAGATCTGTCAGTGGTGAAAATATACTGTGGGTATTGATGTTGGTGTTCCATCGTTAACAGAAGCTGAAAGCTTCAAGCAGATCCGAATTAGCACCTTTTCGGAACAAAGACTAACTATTGGCTATGTTGTGAGGAGCTGAATGAATGGCAACATTCAATTCCTAGATCAGGCTGTAGGCAGCTGTCTTCTAAGCTGTGGACTGGCCCTGATAGAGCAAGACAACTACAGAGCCACACAGTCTAAGCATAATGCAGGTAATATTTACCCACTTGCTCGTCAATCTGACTCCAAGTCCGGAAAAAAGGAATCAATATCTTCGCCGATGCAATAGCTCTGTATGTGGATGAGCCCATTTAGGGCATAATATGCAACCGCAATCCTCCTGTATGCCTTGTATAACCTCGTGTTCGGCAGTCTCAAAGAAGATTGGTCAGATTCGAAGTTTCCGTATGGAGTTCATATCATGCTTTCTGTACACCACGGCAGACGGGTTCTACAACTGAAGATTCATCTATAAATACGGCTTTGGAGTCCAAGAATCTAAGTCTCTCTCATCACTCACCACCACACTCACAACACTGTCCAATAACTCTACTCACAAATTGTCTCTGCTTCTTCACCGCCTTGTACGTAAGACCTTTTTCAAGCAGATACTGATGCCGTCATATCTAACAATCAAGAGCACGAGCCCAAGCCATCCAACATGTTCGCTTGCCACACCATCATTGGCGTCGTCGCCAGCCTCGATATGCTTGCGGCCCCCGTGTCCGCGCGCACCTGGGCTGGAGGCGTTAATATGAACACGGCCTGTGTTAGCCAGTGGGGTGTATCATTCCATGCTCAAAACGACAAAGCAGACAATGCTGCCAATAGTGCCTACGACTGGTACTGCACGGATGGCAACAATCAAAGGAACCTTGACGTCGGTGCCTTTTGCGCCGGCAGATACGGCGGCAACGCCTACGCTGACCCTCAGGGCAAGAAGAAGTACGACTGGGGCTGCTACTATCCCTAAATTGCTCGAAAACCTCGTGAAGAGGTTGAACCCTAGTGTAACGACTCATTGAGCACGACTGTTGCAGCGACTCCGCCTGACCCTGGCGACGCAGGAAACGTACGATGGGCGTACCTGGGCTTCATTGGAACGAAAGAACTATTTTAAGTTATGCGACTTTGGGAATAGTACGGATGGAAGTAGGGTGTATCGGATGTACTGGATGTATGAGTTATCTATTTTATCCTAGGGATTTATTGGATACCTTGAATATCCAGAACAGCTAGGTAGCTAGAACAAAGGGACTACTTCACAGCCGAACGATCTGGCTACCCTACAGCACCCATCCACCTCTTTGCCTTGTCCTTGATAGCATCGCACTTGGGATACTGTACTGCTCCCCTCGGCACGATGCCGTCGCTTTGGGTACTGATCAAGAACTTTCCAATTCCAATCCCGTTGTTAGCCCGCATGCCGAAGAAACTGACAAGCTTCCGTTTATCCTCTGAGTTGAACCCCTCCTCAGTCGAGTTCAGGTACACCAGCGCCATGCCGATCGGCAAAGGCGCAGATGAAATTCCGAAGGTCCCTGCATTTGGATGGAAGAAGACATCGACGATGTTGGCGATCTTGGTACAGAAAACCCTAGGGTTGGTTCGCTCCGGCAGCTCAATGTCAGGCTTCGGGCCAAGAGCAAGGCGAAGAGTGCTGTAGGCCAAAATGGAAGTTGTCCAAAACAAGGTCATGATCGATGTTATGACGACGTCGCACATGGTGGGATTGTCGACACCTCTTCTTTCGAGGTCTTTTAACTCTTCTGTCGGGCCCATGTTGTCGAGCCACCGTGTAAGTTCTCTGTCGATGCGCCAGCACTCATTCACCAGTCTGCTCCGTTTTGCCTTTTTCTCGATCCCTGGTTCGCAATCACGCAGTTCGTCGAGATCTTCGAGGATACCCGGAATATCAACAAAGATGTCTACTAGTGCGTCTTTGGAAGACTTCGGATGATGCTTCCAGGGTACTGTCTTCCAGATAGGATGGCTCAAAGGACATCTTTGCCGCCGCTTGATGTGTGTAATTGTCTTATTAATGCGTTAGAATAAAAGAAGCCACAAGAATAGTTGATGAGAAGTGTTGTACCTGATGAACACGCCCAGAGCAGAAAAGCTGGTGCGCGTGGCCGTCGACATGGCTCTGTGGTGTTCGCTGCACCACTAGGGCCATTTCTCCCATGGCATGACCTTCCCAGCTCTGGGCTTGGGAGATACCCCGTCTCTCTCTATCATCTGCGCCGTACAAGAGCTGAAATGAAATGAGTCTTGGCTTTTCGCAGAGGAAGAAGGGGGCTTGGAATGCACATACCTCATAGAGACCGAGGATCCTTGAAGCCACCATCAGCGCATCTGACCTCCATCGCGTAGGATGCCGTAGGGCAGTGTTTAATTCACCAAGTGCCTGGCAGTAGAACTTGAGTCCCTCATCTATCATCCATACTTGCTTGTCGCGTCGGCCGATGGTTCCAAGACTAATCGCCAGCAGGCTCTGGCGCAGTGCTGCATCCGTTCGGTAAAGATCCTGGACTGTAGCAGCCCAGTCTGAATGAGAATACCGGACAATGGGGGTTCCTGGGGTGAAAGCCGGGGCATCGGGCATGTATGTCTCCCAAAACAGATCAAGAATCTTTTCCTCATAAGCGGAATGAGAAAATAGGGGCGCTTGGATCGTGGGAGGCGCCACAAGGGCGAGAGCTGTATTTTTAGGCTTCGGGTTGTTGGACGTGACATTGACGAAGATGCGCTTCCGTTCATAACCCGCGCACTCGATGCCAGCCTTCAGGCACTGCCCGCATACCGGTCTCTGGAGGTCGCACTACCGTACACCGGGTCAATGATCAGGCGCATGTATGATAGGGGACCAAGGGTCCTGGTGCACTTACTCCTTTCTTCCGCTTGCGACATGTGTTGCAACCCTTGGATCGTCCCGGAACTCCAACCATCTTGTGAGTGGGATCCCAGACGGGAAAGCAAGCGTTTGCACAGAGAGGATCACCCGGCGCAGGATGCTTCTGATTTGGGAAAGGTGAGCGGCCGTGGGCGCCAGAGCCGTTTTAACTACTCCGGGGCATCGGTGGAGTGACAGCGATCGGAAAGTAGGCTTATCTCCCGGCGGAGCGGTTGCATCTGATCTGTCCCAGACCAAGCAAGCCTTAATCGCGGGGCCGCGGGCTTGGACGCAAGACGTTGTCGTGGAGGCTTAGAAATCGACGAATGATGCAGCAACCAATTGTCAGGAATGCTGCTAGACGATGAACTATGCACGCTGAGATCAATGACGACGACACTTGAAGTAACACAAAAGGCGCATCCACATTGCTGGAGACGAAGGATTGGCTTATTTTCAGCCCTGCAAACGCTCGAAGGATTCCAAGCCTCCTTAGCGATCCACTCAACCGCTGGCAAGCAAGCCACCTCTAGGCCCATTTGGGAAGCATTCTGCGCGCTGTGACTCGATTGGGTGTTTGAACCAGCTCTCCGATCTTCGTGATGCGCGAGCAGGCTGAAGTTAGATGCCAAGACGGGCGTCTGGCGGTAGAATTCATCTCCAATTCCCCTTGTCTGGCACAACGGTTAATGCCGCCTACGACGTTGTTGCGCATTTTCTTTCCAAGACCGTTCAAGCGCCTTCCAGCCCTAAAGACGCGTCTGCGCAGATCTCCCATGGACGTCGTCGGCATGCAGAAGGCTGTGTTCCGACCGGGACCCCGATCACGATGCAGATGAAGTAGAATGATGAGATATAAGACAATGAGCTTCCGGTTTCTATTTTACAAAAATTGGAATACAGCAGCTTCAAACACCGCCAACCCATCTCTCATACTCTGAATCTATATTCGAAAAGAACAAGAATTTAAACAACTAAATTAGACTCGGCTGACAACAATCGTGAACATGGTTCAGCCGACACGACCTCCAGCCAACGGCTTTGTTGCAGCAGCACGGAAAGTCTACAATCCATTGGGTTTCGTCAAAGGCTACAACTTCGTCCTCTTTTTCATCTTCTTCGGTGCTTTCATGGGATTTACACTCGCCCGCTTTGAGTACCTCAACTTCAGCATTTTCTGTGGACCCGGTGGTGCAGCCCCTGGGGAGTGTTTCTACTACCAAAAGCGGATCGAGCAGATCGGCATCAAGATGCACCTCGGCGCCATCCTCCCGGCCAGCTTTCTAGCTTGTTTCCAATTCGTTCCGGTCATTCGTCACAAGGTGTTGCTCTTCCATCGCATCAACGGTTATCTCATCATACTATTGTCCCTCGTCAGCACAGCGGGCATTTTCATGTTCTTGCGGAACGCATTCGGAGGCGGCATCGAGACACAAACTGGCATCGGCCTCCTATCGATCATGTTCATCGGCTCAATGATGTTGGCGTTCATCAACATCAAGAAGCTTCAGATTGAACAACACAGAGCTTGGATGTTGCGAGCTTGGTTTTATGTATGTGCGGCAAATGCTTCAAATAATCTCATGCTAATATCTGAACAAGGCCGGATCCATCATCACTATTCGGCTAATTCAGATCACTGCAGCCACTATCATCAGCAACATGGGGACCTACTATGTATCGCGTCCTTGCGACCAAGTTGCGTTCATGGTAGACAACGTGAACAGAACACTGGCTCTGTACCCGGACTGTGCCTCATACTTTTCAGGAGAGAATCCGGGTCAGCAAACAGTCGTCCACGCCGACCTTCCCGGCGCAACATCGGCTGCTGAAGCTGGAGCAGCCACCGGCATGGTCTTCGGGATGGCTGTCTGGCTGGCCCTGGCTATTCATGCCATCGGGATCGAGATTTATGTGAGTGCGATTGGAAATTGAAGTCACAATTTCAATCAGCTAACTTATTCCAGTTGCATCTCACACCTGCAGAGGCCGAAAGACTTCGCAATGTTTCTTATAAGAGACAACTCGAAGCTGGGCTCCATCCTGCCGGAAGAGCCGGAATCACAGCCGACCGGATTGGAGACTCTGAGAAGTGGCAGCCATGGGATAGGCCGGGCCAAGTCCCTCACAAGCCGTCCCAGGATGACTCAATTTCGCAGCTTGCATCTCACTGAAGCTGCAAATTTTGATGGTTCATCCGGACTTGGACGGCATTCGGTCCGGACCGGCCTCGGCCAGAAGGCGGCCTGGAAAGGTGGAGAATTCAGAATACGAGCACGGGGCTTGGCGCATGAGAACGGGTTATTAGCCGCAATACATTTGAGTTAACCCAACCCACCTGGTCCTTGCATCCTGCTGGCCGTTCCTCTGAGGCTACAGTATGACTGAATCACTCAAACCTTATTGCTAGAGAACTCCTCCACTGTTGTTTAAAACTTCGACGGGCAGATTGACAGCTTTCTTCGGACATTTCCGTGCGGAAGGTTGAACTGGCATGCTGCCTAACTCACTGAATTAAAGTCACTACAGAGAAGCACGAAACATAATATTATTGATGTATTTCTTAAGGAGGTGCTTGAAAGTTGTAAAGCTTAAGGAAGATGTCTTGACATGCTTTTGAACTTTCGATGTGAGTGGTTAGTAGACTTCTCGCCTCTCGGACGGGCCGCCCGAATAGCGCCGTGTCTGCCCCAGAACATCAGCAATGACCACTCAGTCATCCATGGGATTGCGTCCAAATTTTACAACAATATGAGATTCTGAAATGCCCATCAAGACCTCCCGCTGCAAATCCGCATATATGAGTATGAACCAGCTCGCCACCAGAATACGAGGGCGGATGTAGCACTCACAATCAATTTCATCCCTACCTTCGTATGTTGCATTCTGCAAAGGGCAACAATGCACTTCGTTCTACTGTGGCTCCTTTCTTACTGTATGCTGATCCACTGTGCAGCTGTGGAGTCTCCATCACTGCTAAGTAAGAGAAGCCGAAAACAAAACATCGGAATTGTAGCTGGTGAATCAGGTCGCAACAGCCAATTTTTCTGCGACAGCAACCAGGTTGCCGCCATCGAAAGATCTATTATGTGGATGAATCGATACGCCAAATCTGCTTATGACTTCCTTTATGAGGATGATTCTGAAACAACTTCAGCATTCATTGGATGGTTTGGCGGTAAATCTACCTCTTCCTCTCTGTCTTCCCTTAGAACCGAAGCGGTCACGAAGATGCTGATCCTTACTCTTATGTACCAGCGAGCAATACCGACAAAGTCAACTTTATCAGAAGGGAGGTGTACGATCCCATTGAAGCGTTGGGCTCCTCAGCTAGATGGTACGTTGCCGAGCTTGAGGATCTCGAAGAGACCTTGGTCATCGGCTGCGGAACAGTTCGCAATACCGATGATTGCCGTGCCCGAGGCACCCACCTTGTTGCCAACAAGTTGAAGAACACCATTACCATTTGTCCATCATACTTTTTCAATAACGGAGCTGTCGCATCAGACGAGGCAGAGGAGCAATCGATGTCAACATGGAGGCTGAAACGACAACTTCTACCTGCTGCTGGGTTTGCTTTGCTGCATGAAGTAACCCACATCACAGGTGTGGTTGGAGATTTTGAATATTGGACAGATGAGTTGGCTTCCACCGATCATGCCTACAAGCCGTCAGAGTAAGTGAAGACTGCCATAGTGTTTCCGATACCTTGACTAAACAGCTACCCGCAGATGCATCAAACTGCCGGACTTAAGACGAATTAATAATGCCCAAACCTATGCTCTGTTTGCACTAGACGTTAGGACGAATCCGGCGTTTACGAGCAAGCAAGTTGATATGGATATAAAAGATCCTCAACAGTTTGCATTGAGATGGCTTAGAGCTGGGGTTAGCGGTAGACCGGAAGAACCATAGTTGGTAAAAGGATGCTGAATATGAAGTCTATCCATATTGAATGCAGGCAAAGTTCGACACGCAACCTGTAACCTGAGCTGTCTCAAGATGACTGTCCTCCTGCGTTTTCCTTAAGACCTCTCCTCCAAGATTTGCATCAACAGATGCATGTTGCTCTTTAACATCCAAGTCGCATCCACGGAATTCGCGGTGACTAAGGTCGCCAAGTTGCGCAGACACCGGCCCCGGTTGGCGCGGCCCCACCCGTTCACGGCATCGAGAATGTCTGGTGGCGAAGTTTCTTCGACGAAAGGGAGTGGAAGAATCGTTCATTGATTACATACTTAGGAGGCATCTAGCCTACCTTGTCGTATTTGGCGTGTTTGTATACATTGTAGCCGAGCTTTGCATCGATAACTTCATCATCGTTGTGTTCTGTTCCAACCTCCCGGCACCCGATGCAGGGGACAATGATGTCAAGTCATTCTTGCGACTAGCAACCCTCCTTGGTGTCGGTGCAAATGCCGTTGCAGCAGACCTTCTCGCAAGTCTCGACCTGTGGAGAGTTAGTGTTCTCCAAGTTTACAGCCAACGCTTTAGGTGAGCACTGGCTTACAAAGTTCCAAGTTGGGCTGGATCGACCAGGCCAGGTATAACACTTGACAATGTTCAGGCCTGAGCATCCCATGGTGTATTTGTCAGGGTTGCAGCCTTTGCCCTGATCCTCAGCTAGAACCAGGGCTGCGAAGAACGGAACGAGGCTGGAGAAGCGCATTGTGAATGAAAGAGGTGGATCGATGTACGCCAGCTGATGACTTGTTCAGAAAGAAACAAACAGTGTAGCAAAGACGAGGCCAGCGCAGACTTTTAAAGAATTCATTTGACTAAGGTAACAAAAGCGCGGTATGAAGAAGAGAGGGTTTCAAATTAACAATTACGCGGCTTCCAATACACCGCTTCATTTTCATGGAACCAAGTTCCACAAAACACTAAAGTTAAAATCGAATCCCCCCCTTCTCCTTCCATACCTTCCGCCACGAGAACCAGGCTACGCCGATCTTCAACAAAAAACATACATGACTCTTTTACCCCAGCTTGTATTTATAGTGCGAGTGGTGTTGCG